GCTGTGCTCTACTTCTCTACCTCTTCCATCCTCCAGTTTCTCATGTTTGTTTTGTTCATTCTTTTTAAAGTGGAAATGGATTTCACAGAAACTTTCTTGTAATGGGATTAAATAATCTCCAGCCTTTTTTCCCTACTAGCTAATGCTTACTCTATAATGAAAATATGTTCTCTATGCCACACACATCCTGAACACAAGTTTCTTCTCAATCTATGGTTTAGTACTTCATTTCCAAAAATACGCACGGCAATGAAGAGAAACTCACAGCTACTTTGTGGCTTCTTGCAAGAGGCCACAGACACGAATGGAAGGGTCTCTGCAACTGGAGAATTATTTGCTACTCTTAACATTTCTAGCATGGCTTTCAAGTGTTTGCTCTTCCACCAGAGCAGTATTAATGTACATACACACATGTCTACCTGATTTTCACATACAGTGACTTATTTCCTAGATGGACTTCTGGAGGTGTAACCATGCAGCTTCACAAGGAACTTCCTAACAGTTAACCTATCACCTCCCTCACTTTAGGGGCACAAAATGCTCTTAAATCTACCAAAACCTACTCATTCCATCAACCAAAGTCAAATTTCAGACATTTAGTTACAGAACTTAAAACTCCTTAGTTGTTTTTAATTCAATTCCTTCTCATATTTTTTTTCCAAAACCCTATTATACAAAAATTCTGTACTGCAAAATGTTTTGCCTGTTAAGTTATGGGAAATCCTCCTGTACTCGCTCAAGAACAGAAGTCAAGAGGAAGAAATTTTGGAGATGTTTCCCCCTTCCAGTAATAGTTCTATTTGCACCAGTTGATTTGTTCTGATACTTTTCAAAATTTTATTTTCTCCTGATATCCAAAGTCACTAGTAATTGCATTTCCTACAGGTGTCCTGTCCCAAGGAACAGAAGCAAAGCACACTTTCCCTTTAGAGACATACCTATTTTCACCTCTTATTTTTGCCTCCTCACCCCTAACACTCACAGCACCTCAAAACTTAACAGCAAAACAGAGCAAGAAAACAGTTCTCCTACTATAGTAGTTGACATAAGTTTTGGGAGGGAGCAAGTAAATGACATTCAATTTACTTACTTAGACATGACTAACGGTAAATGCTAAGCTATGATTTATGACATCTGCCTGAGCACTAAAGAAAAGCCCTTTTGCATTACAGTTCTAGCAGGCACAAAATCCTGCTGTGGTTATAGTCACTATTTGGATCCATTATTGACTACCATTAGAAAACTCATACTTCAAAGCTGACCCCAAACGTCCCAAGAGTCATAAACCATAAGGATTCTTCCCAAACCAAGAAGCTCTGAAAAAGAATGCTTAAACCAACTCATATGCATGTATGTGGTTGGCTTTGGGACTTTGGAGGTGCAGGGAGTAGATAGGAAGGCACTGTGTTTTGGTGGTTTTGTTAATGAGGCAGGGTGGAGGGAAGGGAAAGCAAGGATGCACCAGTGTCTTTAAGTCTCCAGGGGAAAAAAACAGCCTCTGAGTAATTAATATGAAAAGATGGGGCAAAATTTTCCAGGAGACCTGGAATTAGGTATTAAAGGCTGAAAACCCAGGCACATTTGTAAGGTAGGAAAACTCCATATCTATGCAAAAAAAGGATATCCTAAGGCTAGATATCCCAAGGACACCCTTATGAGAGACAATACTCCCAGTCCAAAGTCTTCCATTAGGAAGCTGTGCAAATGCACAGAGCGCCAAAGCAATTACTCACTCTCCACCCCATCAGCAAATACACACAGTTGCCTCTCTGTGAGGAGACCACTGTACTACACACTCACTAGACAGTTTGCATCTGAGCATCTCTGATAAAAGCTGTTATTCAAACAAGATCCTCCCAGAGAATGAAAGAGCTGAGACAATGATTCTTGCATAATGCTATAAA